CTGGGTCTCGATTGCCAGTCTGGTGAATCTGGTGAACCGCTGCGAGTACGACGTCACCGAGCGAATATGCCTCGGACCCTTCGGAGGGGTTCCGCTTTTCTCAGAATCTATATTTTTCTATAATAAAATACTTCCTCCGTCCGACAATGACCGTCCAATGACTGCAATTTTACTGTCCAGATTTGATACTCCCCTAATTACTTAATAGTTTCATTAAATCCATTTAAATAAAAACAGCATTAACAATACCCCTTTTGAAGCTCTATAACTTTATTATTGCTTGTATKACAATATAAGGCAATACACAGTCAAATTGTATTAAACAAGAGCAATATAATCAAAAAAGAATCATCCAAATAGCTCAAGTATTGAGCTTATTTCACTATTAAGTTTGTTAAGAGACAATCATTTACGGACGGAGCCGTACTTAGTTCGAAATGTACGAGTGATAGCCATAATTACAGTACGGTACAGTACGTGTTTACAATAATGATTGTGCTGAGTGAGCCTACCGGTACAGGTTAAACTATAAGTACACTACATTGGAACGTACGGTAAGGTACGTAGCAATAAATTTTACTTAGTACTCGACRCCATAAAAATCGCTGTAAACAAAATCATCAGGACCATAGAATTTTTTTTAAACTTCAAGAGAACAATACTAATAACTCCGCAATTCGAGTAAAATGCTTSTACGAAGTAACGTAAAAACCCTACTGGTGCACCATACAGGGCAAACAGGCAATCTACTCAAACACCATTTTTTTCTTTTKACGAGGAGTACCAGATCCTACACAGATCTATTACTAGTATTCGGTCACTTTTTCCACCACAAGCCAACCACAACAGCTCCAGAAATGCCTCTAATGTCCTCCCCTTTGGGGATATGCTCAGTCAAACCAGTAGTGTTGGCTACGGTGCACCGCACTTCACTATCTCTATCTTTAGTGCGCCTAGTAGTAGCCAGAAACTTTGAAGAATTCTTCTTACTGCCCTGGACTTCTTACTAGTACTACCGAGGAAACAAAAAGAAACTTTTTTAGTGTAGATTTGTACAAACCCTGGTATATTAATTGTACCTTTACCAAAATAAATTATTCATTTTTAACTTAAACAT